GCTGTAGTTACAGTAGTAACCATGGCCAGCCTACACGGCCTAGAACCGTAGTTACAGTAGTAACTATGGACAGTACTTGCACGGCTTAGAACCGTAGTTACAGTAGTAACTATGGCCAGTACTTACACGGCTTAGACCCGTAGTTACAGTAGTAACTATGGCCAGTATTTACGCGGCGTATAACCGTAGTTACAGTAGTAACCATGGCCAGTACCTACGCGGCTTAGAACCGTAGTTACAGTAGTAACTATGGCCAGTACTTACGCGGCTTAAAACCGTAGTTACAGTAGTAACTATGGCCAGTACTTACACGGCTTAGAACCGTAGTTACCAGAAAGTAGCCCGACAATAACAAGACAGCAATCAGGACAACTTAGCTGGGAGAGGGTGCGGGAACACAGCCATCACCACAAGTTGACACGAACCTGTCCGTCGAGGCTCTGCACGGCGCACCGCCGGCCACAGCTCCTGGAGGACGCGTTAACAACCCGTAGCTCCGACTATCAGTCGCGAAGCTCCCCGCTGTATGCAGAGAAATCCCTCAGATCAAACGTTCAAACCTGAACGCTGTAGGCTGCAAGAATGCAGCCACGGTACTCTCGCGCAGCGAGAAGATGAAAGGAACAGATCCTCTGATGACACTGGCTGATATAGCCGGTGTCACGTGGGTCACAGGCAGTGGCGTTTTTATATGTACAAAAGTGGTGGGGCACAAAAAACTTAGATGTCTATATATAAGCTTCTGCAGTGACGTGCAGTGAGGTTCATGGCTGCTGAGGCACTGGCACTGACTCTTCAGGTTTACAAATATTATATTTTGACCTAAACCAAAATATAATATTATTTTCAAAAGCTTTTTTTGTCTGATGCTTCGATTAATTTTAAACAGACAGTTCAACAAAAGGATACCCAAAAAATGTAATTTTATCATTTAAATATTGAATTGTTCTCTCTTAGTAAGATCCCATTTTCAATAAAATGGCGGTCTTACCTTGACTTGAAGATGAAGTCCATTTGCCTATCCTTCTGGACAAACATTTCTATTACTTTTTTGTAAAAGTCCTCCTTATGTTCTTGTAGTTTCAAAAGTCTATCATAAATCTAATCCATAGATTTATGATAAAAAAATTATATAAGTAGGGTAGACATGTGGATGTTATCCGGCTAATCAAAACGTGCATTTATCTAACAGGTACGTTTCCCACAGATCTTATTTCGAGCTATTTTCTAAAATCCTCTGGAGAAATCTCATTGCTTTTTTGTGCTTACTTCCTGGTTTTAGGACGCGCCACTGCAGCTCTCTCGTCTCCTCTTCACACACCACACTTTTCGCGGCACACGTACTTACAGCCAATCAGCTCTGAATGATTTGAGATGACGTATGGTGGGGATGGTAGCTCCGTGCCCCTCTGGTCATTATTTTTTTGCCACACACATTTCATTACAAAATACTCTGAGCATGCGCAGTGAAGTTTTTACAGTCACCGTTGACTTCACAGCGAGAGGAAGGGGCATAATCAGGTTTTGTCCCACATGGCTCTAAACAGCTCAATAGGCACACACTGTGACTGTAGACACACTAATTAGAAGAACACAGACTAAAACAGCAATGTACAGACGAATCAGATGATTAAACATGATCTTAAAATATATTTTATATATTTTTTTATTTATTTTTTTGCATTTTTGTAATCATTATTTGTAATACTTTCTGCTGACACTAGGTGGGGCTGTGCCCCACCTGCCCCTAATGACCAGTCGCCACTGGTCACAGGTGACTTTGTTGATATTGGTACTCGTACTGCGCATGCGCACGATGGACATATCCAGTGCTAAAAGCACCGCCTCTGGCGGTCAGTAGGGACGAAATAGAACACCCTTTATCTAGAGAGCCATTGAAGCCCATGAAGAATTTATCCTTCCACAAATCTTTTCAACTGCTGTATTAATAAAGTTGCCACGTGTTTTCAAATTCAAGTTAAGGAACTATCTGTGTAAAACATTACAAATATTCTTCATTTGCAGTATTTAAAATTTTTTCAGAAAGACTGCATCAATTATATGCTATATATATTATATATAAATATATATATATATATAATATCAATATTGTTATTAACTTAACAAAAATGGGATAATTGCCATGGATGTGGTGTTTGATATAGTTTACGTTCAATTTTAACTATTTTAGGCAGAAAAACGTATATTGACGAAACCTTTTTTAATAATTTACTATAATTTAGAAAGGTTTTTGTGAGAAATCATTTCAAAAGTAAACTTATTTTTCATTTTATATTTCAATTTGAAATGTTTGCACACAACATTATTAATTTTTTTAATTAAATGTTTTAATTAAATTTTATTTTAATTTTTATAAACATTTTAAGTTATGAATCCATTAATTGTATTGTATTTCCTTGAGGCTGGGGAAGATATCCAGCATGTGGTTCAACATGTAATACAAGTAAGTATATGTACAACATGGAAAAGTAAATAAAATAAGTTTAATAGGAGGATGTGGATTTATTTTCTCTCACCTTGTAATTACACAATCAAACAATCTATAATTTAGCTCTGATCTTCACAAAAACATTTTGTTGAATTGGACACATTTTTCCAAGCTCTATTGACAGACATGCAATGACAGGGACTGATGGAAGAATCTGAGAGTAATGAACTAGGAGCAGAGAAATAATCATATTTAAAAGACAGCAGCCCCATAAGAGGTCAACAAGAGTCACAAGGGTGCGTCACTTTGCTGAAGGATATTTGTGACCAGCTATCCAGGCCAGACTCTAAAGACTTTCCAAGGTGTGAAAATGCTGCTGCTGGAGTACTGACTGGAAGTATCGCTGATATCATGTCAACCATCCTCTTAAAGTACTCTGTCCAACAATATCAGTCTCATAAGAAAGGTGTTTTAACGCTTATTCAAAATAGCAGAGAAACATGCATTATTGTACTCAGGAGGGGACATTGACAGAGGATTACTCAAAAAGTACACAGTAAAAGTACTTCATAGTACTTGTGGTACTAGTACTGAGTCCAACAGTGTCAATCTCACGAAGAACTAATGGCAAAACATTTTTTTTTTCCTCATCAAACTTAGCAGAAATGGCTTGATTTTGTTCTCAGGAGGGGACTTTGACAGAGTATTTCTCAAAAAATACACAGTAAAAGTACTTCAATGTATTGTTAGTAGTAGGCTTACTAATACAAAGTCAAACCGTATCAATTTCATTAAGAACTAATGGTAACATTTTATTTTTATCATTCATCAAAGATAGCAAAAAACATGCATTATGTACTATGGAGGGGACTCTGACAGAGGATTACTCACAAAGTACACAGTAAAGTACTTCCTTTTATTTCTGGTAGCAGTCAACTAGTACCGAGTCCAACAGTATCAGTTTTATTCAGAACGTATTGTAAAAAATATTTGTATCACTCATTGAATATAGCAGGAAAGAAAATGAAGAGCAGCTGATTGACCGAGTGCAGAATCGCTGTATAGTTTAAATCTCCTTAGTTACAATGTTGTCCATTTTAGACAAAGGCTTATTATATTTACAGCCCTAAGAACATTCATTTTCTGGGCTCAATATGTGTCTTGGCTGTTTTCGTTGTGATCGCTAAATTCAGATCGCTGGATCGCTAGAAACACCTGCCATCAGACTGGCAAGGGCTGTTCCATTCTCTGCTCAACCTCCCGCCTTCCCTATGGACTCAGTAGCGCCCCCTGCTGCCGTGGAGCATGTGTGAGTGAGCATGTGTGACACTGGGTGTTTCTCAATCGCGAGTACGCTTGCTTGGTAGCACATGTCTGCCGAGCATCTTGCTTCAGAAGCGAGTCAAGAATACTTCCTGGCATTCGGAAAATGAAGTGTGGAACACGCTAGCAAGTGTGCAGGTGTGCGTCATATGAGAGGCCCCGCCTTACATCTTCCGCCACAGATTTGGGGAAATTGGTCCGTGCGCAAAGCATTGTGTGGATTTTAAGGCCGCGAAGTCTACTCATGTGCAGACTCGATATTTCTCCAAACGGAGTACGCCGGGCTCGGTAGATTTCCAAGTATACTGGAGATTGGAACAGTACTTCGGCGGCACTCGATGACGTAGTATGCTTGAAATAGTGGCTCGGAAGCAGCTTTACTCGCGATTGAGAAACACCCTGTGTATGAGTCAGTCACGGCGGAATATTACTGCCAAAAGTCACGTGAGTGAGTCACGTGACTTTTGGCAGTAATATTCCGCCGTGAGAAGAAAAAGTTTTGTACTTGTAAAAAAAAGTTTTGTAGTTGTAAAACAAAGTGTTGTAGTTGTAAAAAAAAGTTGTGTACTTGTAAAAAAAAGTTGTGTACTTGTAAAACCTAAGCTGAATTTGTCTCTGAAACATGATTTATTAGAAAAATGTTATGTGTTTGTTTGATAGATACGTTTTTGCTTTGCAAAACTAAATTCATTAGTTTGTAGATGGTGTTTTGTGTTTGCAAACCACATTGTGTTTGTTAGTGAATCATAAGGCATTTGTAAAACCTGTTTAGTTTGTTTGTGGAGTTATGGCAGGAAATTAGCTCCATAGGTTTGCTCGTGGCAAATGTGCACGCCCAAATTAGGTAATCAGAAGAAATGGAACCCCAGTAATTACATGTATAAACCATGTATTTAACATATATTGCATCATTTTATGCATTTTTCAGAAAAAGTGGTAGTTTGGTAAACAGTGACATCAACGACATGTTTGGTCTGTAAAATGCCCGAAAAGTAAAAGAATGGGAGATAAATATCCCAAAGTCTCCACATTTTATTATATTTTTAATGTGTTTCTGGTCCTCTTTCAGTTGCATTGTTGGAGAAGCCTGTGACATAAGATTTTCAACGACATAATTACTCTGTAGCTATGTTAGTTTGACAATAAAGAACCTTGAACCTTGACAGTGTCGATCAGGGGTGCCCAACCTTTTTTGTACCGAGAGCTACTTTTTAAGTGGCCAGTCTGCCGAGATCTACCAGTCCAACTAGAGAGGCGCAGCCATTACTGACAGCCGACTACCAGGTAAATACACACTTCTACTTGTATAAAACTGACTTTGTACGATTAATACTTCATAAAATACTGCAGATCCTTTATCTTACCTCTTTCTAATCTACACACATACAAGTATTTAACTGAAGTTACACAACAGTGTTGTTGATACAGAGTTGGAGTTTATTCACACGTCACAAACTACAGTGGGTAATGTTTTCAAGAAACATTGAACAGTGCTGCCACATATGACATATGAAAAAAAGAAAAGACTGAACCCTTTCTTTGTCATTATATAAAAATAGTGTTGCTACAAAAGTATAAATTAGTTTTACTAATAAGACAACTCAGATCTGAAGCTACACAGGAATCTGCTGCCAAAGTGCAATAAAAAAGACAAAATTAATAGAATCAAACCCTTTTCTTTTTTTTGCATTTTAGTAGAGTATAAAAAGAAATGCCTTTAAAATAGGATGCAAGCAACACTAGTTTCTTAACCTGAATTGATAATAGACTATAATCAATTTAAACAGAACAGATCTTAAAGTTTGCATTCTTATACCATTTTGTACAATAATTATAATGAATAAGTTCAAACAAACTAAAACTTACAGCTGATTAATAACGGTATCTAACTTGAGTTTTTATTATATCAAAAACCTGTTGAAATGCTACTGTTATTTTTACTGTCCCCAAAAAGCGCGTCGGCAGCCTCCAGGAATGCTTCTTTCACAACTTCGCCGTCTTTGAAAGACTTCATGTGTTTTGCAAGAACGTGACTGACACGATAAGATGCTATGGTAGCAGCCTTGCTCTTGTTGTTGGGCCTGGTGAAAATTGACTGCTGTGCATTTAGCTGTCCTTTCAGGTCCCTCACCTTTTGGGAGCGTAGGGCAGAATTAGGAGGGAATTCCGTCTCGTAGCGTTTGTGCACTGTTTTGAAATGCCGCTCCTAAATTACCCTTCTTCGATAAAGCCACGCTCGCATTGCAGATGAGACAGATGGACTTCCTCCCCACTCGGAGTGAAAATTATATATTTTGGGCTCTTTTGCTTCTGCCATAATTGTGGTCTTGTGTGTGCGGACTGCACAGCAAACTAGTGCCCAGTAGTGATGTGTCGGTCGCGAACGAGCCGGCTCAAAAAGCCGGCTCTTTTAAGTGAACGACGGGAGCCGGCTCGCGCCCGCGAACGAGCCGTTTTTTTGTTTTTGTTATTTTTTGTTAAGTAATACAAGACAGAATGATATGATGATCTCCGCGCTACAGCTGCTCCGTGCATGCATGCAGTGGCATGTAATATCCAAGGATTAGAGACTGTTGGATGCTGCTGTTTTGAGCATTGCAATACATTTATTTGTATTATGTTTTTTTATGATTAGAGACGGTTGGATGCTGCTGTACTGAGCATTGCAATATATTTATTTTCACTATGTTATTTATTTATGATTATCCTTGGGCTCAGCAAAGATTTGATGTCAGCTGTTGCTGTCTTTTTTTCTATAGTTCAAGGTTCAAGGTTCAAGGTTCTTTATTGTCAATCTGACATAGCTACAGAGTAATTATGCAGTTGAAAATCTTATGTCACAGGCTTCTCCAACAATGCAACATAATAACATAACATAATAACAATAAGAGCAAGAGCAATACAAAAATAATAATAGTTATAAAAATGAAATAAAGTTATGATGTGGAATAGTGCAGTATGAGTCTATATACAAGTTATTGGAATGATATATATATATTAGGTATTAGATACATACTACTGAGTAGCAGTTGAATGTTTGAAGTTGTTTCAACAGTTCAATTTTTTAACAGTCTCACTGCCCGCGGGAAGAAACTGTCTCCGAATCTTCTTGTCCTTGCCAGGATGCTGCGGTAACGTCTGCCAGACGGCAACAGAAAGAACAGTTTGTGGCTGGGGTGATGGGGGTCTTTGATAATCCGTAGTGATTTCTTCCTGAGCCGCTGGGAGTAAAGGTCCTCCATGGATGGCAGCTCCGTCCTGGTGATGTGCTGTGCAGTTTTCACCACCCTCTGTAAAGCCTTACGATCGAGGTCGGTGCAGCTGCCGTACCAGGCCGTCATGCTGCCAGTGAGGATACTCTCTATCGTGCACCTGTAGAAGTTGCAGAGTATCCTGGAATCCATTTTGAACCTCCTCAACCTGCGGAGGAAGAAGAGCCGCTGTCGAGCTTTCTTAGTGATGGTGGTGGTGTGAAGAGACCAGTGGCGTCGCCTGGCCTGGGCATCCGGGGCTTTAGCCCCGAATGTTTTTTCTGTAGCCCCGGACAATTCTCCCTCAATAATATAATACATTAACCGTGCTTTACGTGAACCTCATCATGACACAAGAGAGGACGGCAGCACTGTAATTTCCCGTGTTCATTGAATGCAACAGAGGCATGACACCAGACCAATCAGAGAGTTGCATGGAAATAAACGTGTGCTTGTGTCATTCAAGCTCGGCTCTGTGTGTGTGTGTGGCAATAGCGCATGTGAGAGAGAGAGAGAGGGGGAGAGAGGGAGAGGGAGGGACCGTGCCAGCATGGACCATGTTGTTAGCATCTGGTTAGCTAGCTGCACTAATGGACATATGGAGCTGTTTGCTCCACAAGAAGCTGGAGGAGAGTCCTCTCCTCTCAGACTCAGGTGAGCTAAAGGACTCTGAGTGTTTAGATACATAACTTTAGTCTAAGTTATCTCAGTGGGTCTCAAACGGTTTGGTCACAAATTATTCAAAAGATTATTTCCGCACACCTTCATATGATCATTATAGTTATAAAAAAAATAAGAGAATAAAGGAAAAACAGTTATGAAATACTATATGGCAGTAAAACAAGAATAGAGTTTAAAAGGAGAGTGATTTGTAAAATATCCATAAAGAAAAAGTACATCTGTTTACAGTTCTGCTTCATATGGGTGTTGAGAGAGGTATCCATAGATCTCTTCATTTTGCTCTCAAAGTGCACCAGATTGATGCATCTAACTTCAATATTTAAAAAAAAATCTTCCCGGGGGAGCATCCCCCCGGATCCCCCTCGAGGAGGTGAGCCCCCCACTCATAAAAAATACCACTTTACCCCTGCCTATATGCCGTGAGCTGATTATCGAGCCTTCATTGTAACAGTCGCGGGTGTACTGTGTGTGTGCGTGTGGGGAGTGTTGCAGTAAAAAATGCCACTGTAGTGCCGCCGCCACTGTGGGCTAAGCCCCGAATGTTTTCAGGTCCAGGCGACGCCCCTGAAAGAGACCATGTCAGGTCCTCAGTGATGTGGACCCCAAGGAACCTGAAGCTTTTGACTCTCTCCACCGTAGTCCCATTGATGGCGATGGGGGCGTGTCCCTCTCCCTGCTGCTTCCTGTAGTCCACAATCAGCTCCTTTGTTTTGCTGATGTTGAGATGGAGGTTGTTCTCCTGGCACCAAGATGTCAGGTTTTCGACCTCCTCTCTGTATGCCGTCTCGTCATCGTCTGTGATCTGGCCGATGACGGTCGTGTCATCAGCAAACTTCACGATGGTGTTGGAGCTGTGTGTGGCCACGCAGTCGTGGGTGAACAAGGAGTAGAGGAGAGGGCTGAGCACGCAGCCTTGAGGGGCACCGGTGTTGAGAATCAGGGTGGAGGATGTGATATTTCCCACCCGCACTGCCTGGGGTCTGCCCGTCAGGAAGTTCAGGATCCAGTCGCAGAGGGCGCTGTTGAGTCCGAGGTCTCTGAGCTTGATGGCCAGCTTGGAGGGCACAATGGTGTTGAATGCTGAACTGTAGTCAATGAACAGCATTCTCACATATGTGTTCCTCTTCTTCGGGTCCAGGTGTGAGAGGGCAGTGTGGAGGGTGAGGGCTATGGCGTCGTCTGTGGACCTGTTTGCTCTGTAGGCAAACTGCAGGGGGTCCAGAGATTCAGGGAGGGAGGAGGTGATGAATAATTTGACTAACCGTTCAAAGCACTTCATTATGATGGAGGTGAGTGCTACTGGGCGGTAGTCGTTGGGGCAGGTGATGATTGTCTTTTTGGGGACAGGAATGATGGTGGAGTGTTTAAGACATGTGGGGACTACAGACTGCAGCAGGGACCTGTTGAAGATGTCTGTGAACACCTCTGCCAGCTGAACTGCACACACCCTGAGAACACGGCCAGGGATGCCATCAGGTCCAGGAGCCTTGTGTGGGTTAACCCTTTTAAAGGATTTACACACATCTGCCCTATTTAAAACAAAAGGGCAGTGTAGCTCCTGGTCCCTCTGTACCTCCACAGCCTGGCTGCTCTCGAAGCGTGCAAAAAAACTGTTTAGCTCATCTGGGAGAGATGCGCACGCAGACACTCCCGCAGCACCCCCCGCTGCTCCTTTGTAGTCAGTCATTGTCCTTAGTCCCGCCCACATATTCCTAGTGTTACAGCCTTTGAAGTCAGATTCCACCTTCTCTTTGTACTGTCTCTTTGCATTTTTTATTGCTCTCCGGAGATCATACCTAGACTTCCTGTACTCCTCCAAATCTCCCGCTGTGTGCGCGAGAGTGCGCGCTTTCAGTTTGCCGCGCACCTCACCGTTTACCCAGGGCTTTTGATTTGGGAATGTCCGTACAGAAACCTTCGGTACCACGTCATCGATGCATTTCCCAATGTAGCAGATGACAGTGTCCGTGTGTGTGTTGATGTTATTGTCCTCAAACACACTCCAATCCGTAGATGCAAAGCAATCCTGCAGTGCTGAATCTGACTCCTCGCTCCATCGTTGTACTGTCCTTGTTATCGGTCTGTCCCTTTTAAGTTTCTGCTTGTAAGCAGGCAACAACAGTAGTGAGATATGGTCTGATTTGCCGAAGGGAGGGCGAGGGAGAGCCTTATATCCATTCCGGAAAGGGGAATAAACATGGTCCAGTATGTTTCCCCCGCGCGTCGGGAAGTTGATGTGTTGGTAATATTTTGGCAAAACCTTCTTCATGTTGGCGGTGTTGAAATCTCCGGCCACAACGAACGCCGCATCTGGCCGTGAAGTCTCGGTTTTATCAATAAACCCAAACAGCTGATCGAGTGCCGTGTTGTTGTCGGCGAGTGGCTGCGGCGGGATATACACTGCTGTTATCACAACAGATGTGAATTCCCTCGGCAGATGGAAGGCCCGACATGAGATCATGAGGTGCTCTAGCTGTGCGGAACAGTCCGATGAAATAATCTTCACATCTGAGCACCAGTTGTTGTTAGTCATTACACACACACCACCTCCCTTACTTTTCCCCGAGTTTGCAGTCCGGTCCTGACGAAAAATAGAGAATCCGTCAGGGACAATAACGGAGTCCGGGATAGCGGGGTTGAGCCAAGTCTCAGTGAGAATTAACACGTTACAGTTCTTAATGTCCCGTTGAAAAGCAATCCGGCTTCTGAGTTCATCTAGCTTATTTTCAATGGATTGAACATTAGCCAGAAGAATACTCGGAAGAGGGGGCCGATTCTCACGTTTTCTCAGTTTGACCAGCAACCCGGCCCGGCATCCCCGCTTTGTCTTCTTCTTGCGTCTCTCAGGTAGAACAGCAACAGGTAGCCATGGTGAATCTCCATTGTCTGTCGGAGGGTTAATATTGTCCACGAAGTTTCGCAATTGGAAAAGTTCCTCTCTGCTATATTGTATGGCAGAGTAGGTGCGGTCGGCTAGCATGTTGCGAACCATGTTAAAAGTAAAACGGCAAAAGTAAAAGAAATATGTACAAAATACGAAAATGGGCAAAGTTGGAGAGGGGCACAAAGACGATGCGGCCATCTTCACCGGCGCATCACAGTTAATACTGAAATAGAGCCCTGCTGTTTTGTCAGGGCCTTTTCTTTAAATATAATTTTAAAATGTCGATACAGTAGCCCCTTTTTTTAAATGTCTATGCTTAAGTTTTTATAGGTGTTGCTATCTGCTTTGTGTAGCGTGGTTCTACAAGCAAGTCTGTGCCTTCATTGGGTGGTATCAGAGAGATACAAGGGTCTGTAAATGCAATGAAAACAATTGGCCACATGCAGCAAATAATTGATATTAAACATGTAATTTTTACTTTTGAATACTTCAGTACAAAGGATGTATTGAATAATTTAAGTGATATGTGTACACATATAAATCATTAGTCAAAACAGGGCTACATTTGATTGAATTATAAAAGGTATAATATGTGGTAAACTGAAGAGCCGTTTGGGAGCCGAAAGAGCCGGCCCTTCTTGGTGAGCCGAGCCAAATGATCCGGCTCACCAAGAAGAGCCGGAATTCCCATCACTAGTGCCCAGCCCACTGCCTACCAGCCACGCCCCGATAAATCACAAAGCTTTGATGCGTTCAAGTGCATTATTCTGGCACAGGAAGATTATGTTATAGGACATTAACGATAAAACAGAATATTGTCGTTCTATTTTTAGACACATCTCGCGATCGACTGAAACACAGAGGACTGTTTGTATGATGGGATCACAGACACGCTGCAAACGGTGTCCGCCAAAAGCCGAGTCCAGTGTCTATGTAGTGTCATTTTTATTTGTTATAGTTTGGGAAGATTGAAAATCGGTAGGGAGAGTCAGCTAAATCGGTAGGCGGTAGAAACATGTCAAAAGCGGTAGACTACCGCCCAAATCGGTAGGGTTGGCAGGTATGTAAAGGTAGGGCACAGATGGAAAGCTGACAGGCAGGTAGGCCATCCAGTTATTTTAGCCGGGCCGGCTAAAATGATTGGTCGTACTTTTTACAGTACTACGGCTTCCACAGATGAATTTTTTTTATGGATTTTTTGTCAAAGCACTTAAGATATGCATTGCTATCGGGATGTTAAGAGCATTCCATGGAATATAACAAAAAGTGTATCTCGAGCCGGTTTCTCAAACTTACCTACCCTTTAAGATTTTCATTCATTTCTATCTGTATACTGCACATTCTTTTTCATTTAATCGTTTATTTAGCAGGGACAATGCACATTAATGAACACTTAAAACAACAACAAAATGCAAATAGTGTAAATATGCCGGATTTTAGTTTGGAGCTCATTTCCATCCGCAATCCCTCACATAAAACATTTAAGAACATGACAATTATTCACATAGCAAAAACAAATACATGATATGCAAAAAGTGCAAAAGAGCAGCATACACAAGTATTTACCAGATGGCAGTACAATCTAGCAGCATCGACATATACAGTGCAAGATAAGATACAAGAGCTACCTAAAGTGCAAGAGGAGATACCCCTGTGTTAAAGTGCATTTAGCGATGATTGCACGTCTGTTTGTTTCTCAACCATTCTTTGAGTGGAGTCGACCTTTAAAACTATTGAGAGTGGGACAATCCCGTATCTCAGTTGGGAGGCTATTCCACAATGAGCTGAATGGAAAGTACATTTTGGTTTTGACAATAAAAACTTTGAATCTTGTTAAAAATAATAATAATCGAAGAAGAATGCTTAGATAGTGTAAAAATACTCTTTTACATGTAAAAGTCTTGCACACAAAACCTTACCTAAACAAAAGTACACAAGTAATGTCATTGAAATATAGTTAAAGTAGAAAAAGTAAAGCATTAATTGTCCCATTTTAGAATCATACATATTATATTACTGGATTATTAGTTACTCCTAAATCTTGAGATACACAGCTTTAGTTTCATGCATTATCAATAGAAACTAAATAACCACACTGTTTCCTCTCCCCCGTCATACGTTTATTGAACTTAAAACAGACGATGGTGGAGTAAAAGGTCTCCAGCGGGTGTGGTTAAGCTGGAAGGATAAACAGATGGAGGGTGTTGAAGTAAACTGATTATACAAGAAATGCGCATGGAGATAGTGGTTAAACCTGCAATGTATGTCATAAGACTGAGAAGGGAGCATGTCGTATTAGAATCAGGAAATGAACACAGGAAAAACAAGAAGTACGGGGAGACAACATTAAGGGTAGCCTAAGCTTGTTAAGGTTGGACAATCAACACTTTAAAACAACTGTGTTTAAATTATAGTTAGATCTGATATTTATTTTATTGATTTCTATTGATTTCAGAGTTGTAGCGCACCACTGAGTGCTGCTGAAAAGCATAAAATGAGACAACTAATACAATATGTACCATTGATGCCTGAGCTGGCCTTATCATTTTTTATTTTGTTGATGGCGTTGTGCTTGCTGGACTCCATCTATTTTTAGATAATACCTGGGAGGATATAGAATTAAAACATACAAAGAAAACAGTGAAAGACTTCCGCCTCACATACTGAATGCATGGTAAGAACTAATGTAGCTGGATTTGCCAGTTAGGTTAGAGAAATATAAGTGCAGCTATATAAGTATACTCTACTACACATAACAGGTGAATGCTGCACCTGTTTACTGTTCAAAATGTGTGTAACAACCTTAGTTACCTTTCAGATTGTAATATACAACATCCTCTTCCTGCCCAGTGAAAACATTGCATCGCTAAAGTTATTGATTTTTAATCTGATAAACAGTTTCTTTATAGTCCAAGAAAATACCCCTAGTTCTTTAGATAAATACACTACTTAACAGTAAAACCTGTGCTCATAATATTGTCATATTTGCTCTGATGCAAGTCAAATTTCAGACTTGATCTGACCATTAGTAAAAGTTTGAACGAAGGGCTTTTTGTAGTAAATCCTGAAATGCTAGAGTTCGAATGGAACCAAATGGGGCTACACACTACTTGGTCATCTCAGCTTTGGTCTAACCTACTTGGTTATCTCACATTTTAGGCCACTCAGTCTAAACCCTTAATACATGCAAACGGTTGATGTGGATCTGCATCAAATACACAATTCAAGAGAACCACAACAACTTACCAAAGTTAACAAACCTGCATATGTTTGATCTTGAGGAAAATAGCTCTTCAAGTTGTATAGATATTTACACTTCCCACTTCCAGAACTTATTTAGGAATGTTTGTTATTGTTCTTTCAGACAATATGGCACACCATGCCCACCCATTACCTGAAGATACCTATAGAGAAATGGAGCCAGTGCCAGAGGATACACCAAAGATCCAGGGCTACGACTTCAACCAGGGAGTGGACTACCGCGCACTGATGAAGTCCTACCTTACCACCGGTCTGCAGGCCACTAGGGTGGGCTTGGCTATCCAGGAGCTCAACAAAATGGTGAGATGGTTGAACACAGAAAGAGATCTTTGATGAATACGCACGTACATTTCTTTGGTTTTGTTAGATTGCATTGTTATCTTTTGATTATGCACAATTAACTGATGGCATGGTTTTAATCGGTCTAATTCACTCCACATCTAGATCGAGAGGCGCCAGCAACCGATGAAGAGGATAAATGGATTTGCTGAGGAAGACCCATCCACTTGCCCCTGCCTTAACAGCTGCACCATCTTCTTCAGTTACACCTCAAACCTCATCAGCAGTGGAGTCAGGGAGAGTATCCGCTATCTCGCAGAACACAAAATGGTACAACTCTCCTAAAAAATAAGGCATTAGCACCAGGATTAAGTCGTTTTCTAAAATATTAAACTAAATTACATAGATTTTTTATTAAAACAGTACATGATTGATCCATCAGTTGAGAAAAAGATGAATAGATAATTAAAATAATAGTGTTAATCATTTGTATAACGATCACCATTTCTCTCTGACTATTGTTAAATGTTAGATGCTATCTTGTCCACGAACTGCACTATTGAAACAACCATACATATGAATCTGAGGAATATACAGTATAGTCTTGTCCTGCAGTCCACTACAAATCATATCTGTTCCCTAATCAATATGTCTTTCTATGTATAGGTGGATGTCTTAGTGACAACAGCTGGAGGTATAGAGGAGGATCTGATCAAGTGTTTGGGCCCGATGTACATAGGAGACTTCGATATGCCTGGCAAGCATCTTTACAAAATAGGACTGAACAGGTCAGAGAACATGTTGCATCATCAGAATTTGACACTTTGCAAATGGAAATACCACATTAAAAGTGAAATTAAATTAAAAAAGTGTTTTTGATGTGCTGTGTTCCATTGTTGATACAGGACAGGAAACACACTGATGCCTGAAGAAAACTATGTGAAATTCGACAAATGGTTGATGCCCATTTTAGAGCAGATGCTGCTGGAGCAGAACACTCAGGTGTGTGGACTACTTTTCAAACTTTTCAAATGTTTCCCAAAAATATAAAAATGCTGCAAGTTTCGAAAATATATTTAAAAAAACTCAAATAATATTATTTGTAAGAAGATTTTTTTTCGCCCTCTCATCAAGCGCACTTATTTTTTGTTAACTTCTTTCAGGGCGTTCGCTGGACTCCATCTAAGATGATCCATCGGCTTGGCAAGGAGATCAACAACCCTGAATCTGTTTACTACTGGGCCTACAAGGTGAGTCCTGCCGGTATACATTAGACTGGAAATGTGTGGACTTTTGGAAAAACCGAGGGATTTTCCTCTAAAATACACTAAACATTGATCTGCTGACGATTTCAGAATAACATCCCGGTGTTCAGCCCTGCCTTGACAGACGGTGCCATCGGAGACGCGTTCTTCCTCTTCTCATTCAAAAAGCCCGGTTTGATACTGGACATAGCTGAGGGTAAAAATAATGGGAAACCTCATTGGTGCTTACCTTATTTGAGTCTGTGTTTGTAGTAGGTCTTACTCAATGCATTTGATTACAGATATTACAAAGTTGAACCATCTTGCAGTGGCAGCCAACAGCACAGGGATACTCGCCCTGGGAGGGGGCGTGTCCAAACACCAAGTCTGCAATGCAAATGCATGGGTACGTTTTCTACGTTTTTGATTATGAGATTGTTTTGTTGTTATGTAAATACATATATCTTATCAAATATGGAAGAGAGGTTGCAAGTGACTAAAGGATACATTGCTTTGTCTCCCTCCAGAGAGACGGAGCTGATTATGCTGTGTTTGTGAACACGGCTCAGGAGTTCGATGGCTGTGACTCTGGAGCCAGACCTGATGAGGCCGTGTCCTGGGGCAAGATCAGCTTAGATGCCAAACCTGTGAAGGTATTTGATATCAAGTATTATATAATTGGTCAATTACACCTAGCCTGATTGGCCCAATGGGTCAAACCCTCTGATTGGCCCATTTAATCGAGTCATTTGATTGGTCAATTGAAACAAACCCTCTGATTGGTTCAATGGTTCAATTAAAGGGTTCAATCATTATGTGTGACTGGCGAAGCCACACACAGTAGGCTATAGTATTGGACATACTTACCTTATCGTATTCTCCTTCTTCCGCCACAAATGTTGTCATGCTACTCGTCCGGCAACGTTGACACGAAACACACAAAAAACACATCAAAGCGTGCGGAATGACCAGGATCGGGTTGCTATGTCTTTTATAAGAGATTCGCCTAGCAGTTTTCACGCAAATCACAGAAAACTGCGATCATTTGCCCCATAGGAATGAATGGGAGAGCTGGTTAAGACTTAGATTGGGTGACATCACGACTAGAGGGGACAGGAGCTGTAAAAAAACTGCTTTGATCTTTGAACACACCTGTCGGTCGTTAACTAAATCCAGTTTCAGTCACACAGTCAACATTTCTCTGAATTTTGTAGTTAATTTTAGAGATTGAGTAACTTATTCTTTTATCACAATAACAGGTCTGAACAGGCCCTTGTTGGAAAATGTATTTGATGTTTTAACAGCTTCTCATTTCTCTCTTTAGGTGTTTGCAGATGCTTCCATTGTTTTTCCCTTACTGGTGGCAGAGACCTTTGCAGTTCATGCTAATAAGATGACAGCTGGCAAAAACGAGTCAACAGATGTTTCCTAAATCTGTTAGAAACACTAAACATATTTCATTTTCCTATTTATTCTTTCTGTAACATGAACTGTGAAAATAAATGATATATGCATTTACAAACTGCTCTTCCAGTCTTGACTACTCAAAGACAGCATTCACCCATTCATAAACATACAAGTTTCCACCTGCTCATCACTGTATAACATTCACACACAGTCACATACATTTTGGGCGCCAATATTGTTCTTTTTACTCTACTACATTTATGTACTACTTTACATATTCAGACGATAAGATAATACAAAATACAAATACAGATTACCATGACGGAATATTAAATTAGAATTAATTGCAGAGATCGGAACAACTCACAGGCTATGCCTAAAAACTAATTTAAATGTCAACTTTTCTCACAAAACTCATCAAGGGTGTCTTTTAAGAGGTGATGCTCTTGGAAACTCGTGGCAAAGAAAGTCACTTAAAATGTACTAATGTACTTACTAATTATTATTAATTTAATTATTAATTAATCATTAAGGCAAGGCGGGGCAAGTTTATTTATATAGCACCTTTCAACACAAGGCAATTCAAAGTGCTTTACAAAAATGAAAGACAGAGCATCCAGTTTTTTAAGTCAAACTCCTCACTCTCACACTTTTCTCTCTTGAATCTGAAATAATCACTGACGAAGAAGCAAAAAGCAGCGGGATGATGCCGGAGACACAGCTCCTGAGAAAATACTTTTTGTTATGCGTGGAACTGCCAAAATGTTATAAGCCCTTGTAAACAGTGACACAGTACAAAGTATAGAACAGAATTAGACATTTCACATGGGCAATGATTAAGAGACAAATAAAGAAACTGTAGCTGCAACGATAAATGAATCAACAACTATTTTGATAATTTGTTTGAGTTATTCTTTATGAACATTTCTCAGATTTCAGCTTTTCGGGGCTTTTATTTGAAACTACTTCCGAGAAATGAGACCGGAACCGGAAGTTGCGTTTGGTATGTTTTCGGCCAGGAGTTCGTCTTGACAAAACTTGATATTCCTGAATCATATTAGATTCCAGTCATATTTGTGTTTGTTTAACTTTACAGATAGTGGTCACTGTTTTGTTGGGTGAAGGCTTGTTACCGGTGCTTGGCATCGTCAACGGCTGCACCTGTTATCAATAACATCAGTTAAAGCCAACGTTAACCTGCTGTCGTTGTCAACGTTGCGTTAAGTTAGTTTTTTTTAGATTTATGTAACATTTATCAGGTGCGTATATACCGCTATCTGGCGAAACCTAAAAACGGATTGCATTCACGGGTAGCTAAATCTTTATTCAAGCATCTTACCTCTACATTGAGTTCACGCTAAGCTAACCTAAAGATTTGCATTGTCGTAAGACGTCCAAACAAAATAAAGGAAGTGTTAATTTAAAGTAATGCTAGTTTACAGTGAGTGACGACCAAATAAAATATAAGTAATGCTAATTTAAATTGATGTTATCTTACAGTGTATGACGACGGCAAAGTAAAGGAAGTGTTAGTTTAAAGTAATGTTAGCAGTGAATAAGTAGAGGTCTTTGACAGAGGAAAGGTGATGTCTGAGGCCAGGGTTACTGTGTGTGACTCGGAGAGTGGACCCGGTCCTGACCCGCTGACATCTCCCAGTGCTGAAGCTTCTGGGCCCGACTTGAAGGGGTAAGACTTTCTTACTTTATACTAAAACAACTGGCTGTTAATTTTACACAAGGATAAGGGTTTAACAGAGGTGGAAGAATACCTCAGATGTTCTACTAGTAAAAGTAGAAATACCATAGTTTAGGTGTAAAACAATGTTACTTAAGTGAAAGTCGAAAAGTATTGACATCTAAATACTTAAAGTACCAAAAGTATTCATGCAGATAAGCCCATTTCAAAATCATACATACTGTATGATATCATTATAGGCTAATCATTGATGATGACATTTTAATTATTGTATTTACAGCTGGGTAGCACGTGAATTTAATCCAGATGTAACTAAAGGCTTGTTTAAGTGTTGATCAGATTTCTTTAAATCATTTACCCATATTTACCAAGTAGCTAAAGGTACTAAGTAAATGTAGTGGAGGTAAAAGTCAACCATTTACCTCTGAATTTTAGTGGTAAATAATTACAAACAAGCATAAAATGGAAATACTTAAAGGGGACCTATCATGCAAAATGCACTTTTGTACGTCTTTTATACATGAATATGTGTCCCCGGTGTTCCAGGGAACTCACCAAGTGTCAGAAAACACAACCCTCTCTATTTTCCTCCATACCCAAATCTCTAAAAAAGGGGCTGCAACGGATCTGATAAAAACTGATCCAGATTTGAACACTTTCCTGACGTCAGGACAGTGGCGCTACGGCTATTGGGCCAACTCCACCAATCAGGAGGAGACAACCACGGCATTGCCGTTCGAAAGCGCTGGATACGCTGTAGTACATATGCCAGGCCTCTAGATGGTGCTGTTGCTCACAGAATCAACCCTTGCAAAAACAGAGCTATAAATTGTCAAATTGAGCGAAATGAGTCATGGCTAAAATGCATGATCTGTTTGGTATTTTGAAAAAAAAAAAGTATAAATATGCCTTATATAGGTATGGTCCTACACTATATTATTCAAATATAGCATGGTAGGTCCACTTTAAGTACAATACAAGTACTTCAGAATTGTACAGTACTTGAGTAAATGTAGTAACTTTACACCACTGGGGGTTAATAACTAGGTTGATTTATATTTTCTTTCCAGTCTTGTGCCTGCTAGTCCCCGGTCCTCAACAGATGTTAGCCCCTCACCTTCTGCTGAGGTGAGTGGCTTGTTGTCGTTACCATGGGAGATGTTGACACACATTGCCTCTCACCTTCCTGCTCAGTGTGTCATCACTGTGCTGCCAAAGGTTCGTCAAACATTCCATCATTTCCATACAAGTATTCTAAAGATGTCTTGAAGGCCAATTTGTGTTGTTTACTCACTAGATTTAGGTATCACAATGTGATGTATTTCTAGTGGGAAACCGTTGTCAGGTGTAATCTCATGCACATGTGCCATCCTCATGCAAGTCTTAACATCGCTATTAGAGTTAAGAAACAGTATGGCAACTATTACAAATGTTACCTCTTCCTCCTCTTTTTAGGTCTGCCATACTTTGGGCAATGTGGGTAAGGACACCACCGCGTGGCAGCTCCGGGCTCGCAGACTTATAGGATCCCAAGCTGTCTTTCCAGTGGGGCCAAGGGAAGACTTTGACTGGCCCTCTGCTTGCCTGGAGATAGAACAGCTGATAACCTGCTGGACAGGCCAAGGGCATCTCGTGGCAAAACAGACCAAAAAGGATGAGGAGGAAAGCGAAGAAGTGAGGCAGCAGCAAAGGGCAGGACAGGAAGAGGAGCCAGTTGTAGAAGGACAGCAAGATGGTAGAGAGGAAGGGCTGGAAGAGGTAGGAGTGGAAGGGCAGGAGGTTGCTTATGGTGTTGATGAAGGAATGGAGGTGGCAATGGAAGGTGAAGAGGATGAAATTCAGCCCATTGTAGGAGGGGACCAACTTGAAAGATTGAGGGAGGAGTTGGAAGAGAGACTGGATGATGATGCAGGAGCACTGATGGTAGAAGAAAGGAACCACAGGATGGTGTTCAATGATATTGAGGCGTTAGGTGGTGCTCCAAATCGCATGGAGAACCTGGCAGACCCAAGGAATCTGGGTAATAGAAGACGGGTAGAGGTGAAGCAACGTCCGCCCCCCAGAAATCCGAGCCCACCTCCAGCGCTGGAGTGCACCACCCTCCCTACATGCCACATTGCGCAGGTCAACTCAGTCCTCCTGCTGGGGGGGGAGGGGGCAGTGTGTGCCACAGGCTCCAGAGACATGAATGTTAAACTGTGGGATCTAAAGGCAGGCTCGCTGCTGCACACACTGGGAGCAAGGGGGGAGTTCAGCACTCATCGAGGCTGGGTCTGGTGCCTGGCGTCTCAGGGACCTCTGCTGGCCTCGGGGGGCTTCGACAGCACTGTGAGGCTGTGGGACCTACAGGCGGGGGGTGCAGCGACGGGCCTGATCAAGACCGGGGCCGCTGTCCTCTGCTTGTCCTGTCAAACGGATGTTTTGGTGGCTGGAACATTTGACAAGAGGGTCAGCATGTATGACACCAGAGGTGAGGGGTTGAGCCTATAACAGTCCATAAAGCAATCAAAGGTCATTAATAATGTGATAATAAAACATCCAACTATTAATCAATATTATAATTATTTATTAAACACCTTTTTACAAAGTCGAATATCAAAGACATTTAGAAGACAAATCACATAGATAGATATAAACTTTATTCATCCCAATTTGTATAGTTCCTGAATTTATGCAATCATCTTTTCCACAGCTGCTGAACCTCTGGTGAAAAGCGTCCGTCTCCATGGCAACGCTGTGATGTGCCTAGCTGCAGATGACAAGTACATCATCTCCGGGAGTAAAGACTGCACGGTGGCTGTCTATGACCGGAGGGCATGCAAGGGCTTGAAGAAAATTCGGGTATACACAATAACACACAGATGCCTTGATGTTTTTATAAAGAACATCAACCTGTAACCTTGAGTTCTTGAAGAAAACCATGTTTTTCTTGCATTCCTCCATGAAGAATCTAAAAGTCTTGATAACTGATGTTAACAGGGATTGTTTTTAACAACGCATTTTCACTAAACCTTACCATTGACAACACTGGGAACGAGCACTGGATAAATGAGACCTGGGGCCTATACTACAAAGCCGGATTTTCGCTTAGCCGGCTGACTTCAGGGAAAACTCGGGCTTTCCGGTCCTACGACGCTGGTTCTCTTTTTAGCGGGCTAGATCTCCATGGTAACTTATGCTGAGCGGCTAACCTCCTCGGGAGGAGGTTAGGTTGCAGGCTAAGAGATCAACTCAGTGAAAGCACCGCCTGCTGACCAATCAGAGCTCCGTGTGCGGAGTTTAAAGCTATCAAGTCATATTACAGGATAGAGGAAATACAGAAAAACTGCCGTTGCAGGAAAGACGGCCGGCAAAAATCAACTGACTGTGTGAACGTGAAAATTAATAGAATATCCCCTCCTATCTTCAGAGCAATCTGACTATTATAACATTAGCGTTAAGAAAGCTTACTTAAATATCTGCCACGACATAAGTAACCGGATCAAAGTAACATTAAGTACAGTCTGCGGCACTGTGAGTGCAGACGTCGATGTGTCCCATTATCATTCATATCATATCACATCATAATGTATCATATATTTCCTTATCTGAGTCAGCTTCTTGAGCCGTATCTGGCCGTGCAACACTCACAGTGTCACATACTGTATGCAGAAGTATTATTTTAAGCAACACATTAAGTTGACGAAACACTCGAGTCAAATTCTCCTAATTAAAGTCAGATCCACTCGTGTCTTGGACGGGGCATTGATTTCATAAACCTGTTAATGTACGCATTCAAACGCTTTTTCTTTTACCAGCTGTATTCACCTTGCAGGTGCAGCTATGTGGCTTTTATCCTGGATAAAGTGTTTAAGTCATGGATGTTTAAAGTTTAACTTCTTCATATTTGACTAATATTAAAGTTCACTTTTCATTCAGGAAGTATGACGCTGCGCTGTCAGTACGCTTGTCCATGTTTGAGATTGGTCGAATGCTCCAAATACCACCCCTTTCATGTGAACGCGCACCTAACTAGATAGGACACGGCTGGCTTGAGCGATCCACTTGATAACCAGCGTCGTAGTACAGTTTAGCCAGAGCGCGTATGTTTTGGATTGGGCCGGCTAACTCAAACATATCCAGGTTAGGTTGAACCAGCTTCGTAGTACAGGCCTCTGGATTATAATGCATGATTTATGTGATCGTTTTTAAGTGAATACTTTGTTATGGTATTGCTGTTAAACATGGCCCACATTTTCTTCAATTCATCAAGCCTTTCTCCGTTGTTAGATTCTTTGTTTACAGTGGAGATATGAGAGAAAAAAAGTTTTCTTCAACTGTTCGATGTAAAAGATATAAACATTGTATTTTTGTGGGTGTTTTATTTCTTTTAGTTTGCATATATGGTAAGATGCATCTGTGTACCTAACTTGCACAAACCCCTTTCATTTCTAGCTGAGCTCTTACCTGCTGTCCATGAGCTACAGTGGCTGTGAAGTATGGGCAGGGGACAACAGAGGTATGCTCCACTCCTTTTCCATGCAGGCGGGGACCCTCAAACCTCTGTCCCAGTTTGATGTGGGACACACAGCTCTGGTCACCGGCATCCACAAGTCAGCTGGAAGCCTCTACACCTGTTCATCTGATTGCACTGTCAAGGTAGGATGACGTATTCTTTTATAATAGAATGGCCTCTTTTCTGTTAGTATATTTCTTTGTTGTTGTTTTAGTTTTTCCTATTTTTTATTTAATTTTTTGTCATTAAGATTTGTATTCCATTTTTCACATTTTATGCATAAATGCAGAACAAACATAAACAAAACCAAAGGCATCCAACTTAGAGGAAGCAAAACAAAAACAAAAACCCCCCACATACATATGCGCACACACATATACATCAACATAAAGCATGTAAATACACATTTACAACATATATATCATATACACGTATATATACATATACACATATACAGATACACTTCCTGTCCCTAGTACCCTGTACCCTGCCTAAGACAATGTTGATATAGGCCAAGAAGATGTGCCACATTCCGTTAGATTTGCTTGGGATGTTATTTACCCTGGCGATCATAATTTCAAAGGCATTTTTTAAGCCATTGTGTAAACTCTGGCTTATGTGGGCTCTTCCAGTTGTGCAGAATAAGCCTGGCAGCTACAATAAAACCTGTTAAAGTCAGTCCTAGTTCTGCTTTAGTAAGGCCTGGTGGCACAAGAGACTTGTCCCCTAGCACAATTTAATAATGGATAAACTTGCTTCTCGCATGCCTTGTAGCCCAACCTACATTCGAGCCTATTTTGTTTTTTGTAATTGACTCAATGTGATTGTCAATAAGGATTCACTTTCCATGGTCTCATGAGTGTTAATAAAGGTTGAATAAATGAAAAAAAATCTCATCTCATTACAGGTACATATCCCTTGTGCCCCTCCAAGGACTGTTTGCATAATGCCTCACCAAATGGGAGTCAATGGGGTTAGTATTCAAATGTGTTAACCTTTTAAAAAGGATGTTGTTACTTTACTTAAGTTAATTTAACAAAGCATGTAATGTAATTAGTTGTTTGATCTATTTGGGAAGGAGAGAAAACATCTTTATCAATGAAGAAATAACAACAAAATTGTAAAAAAGTTAACTTACGTAAGCACACAAAGTCATAATGAATACAATTCCTGTTGCCTGTCTGTTTTTCCTATGTATATTATTCCAGGCTCATTGTCATTCCTAAAATGTTTTTTTCTTCCCTTGTCTTCATCCTCTCACTTACTCTCCACCTGTCTGTCTTTGACTGTCAGCTAAGCGTGGAGGCTGGAGTCCTTGCTGTAGCTTCAGGGGAAGATTGTTTGGAAATATGGAGGCCCAGAAATTGAATGAGCAAGACCTGCAAACTACGAGACAAGACTTGAAAGCAGGTGTTAATAAGACCTTTCAGCCTGTAAAACACCATACTGGTCTTTTAGCATTTTAAACTAACAACAAATGCAAAACTCTGAAGATGTTAGTGACTTGACAAATTACCACAAGAAGTTAGGACAGCAAATTATTCCAATTGAATCCTTCGTGGTACATATGTCCAAACAAAGTATTTTATTCTGCTGCAGTAACGCACACAAATGTTCTTGGAAATATGCATTACCAGTTGCTTGATTAAGCTTTAAAAGTTAATTTATTTTTGCTCTTCCATGTGTTGATGTGTGATGGTTGAGAAGTTTAAGGCCCCTTTTTTTAGCCAAAAGCTCTCGGCCCTTTTTATTGAATTCTTTGTTAAACCTGTTGAGAAGTTTCTCTACAAACAAAACTATAAATATGTAAACACAGGAAACGTGTTTGTCTCATGCACTTATTTACCTTCTGTGCCAGTAGATTTCAAAGACACTTTGTTTGAAGTGTAGAAATGTGTTGATCTTGTTTGAAAGCTTGTAAATCCATCAAAATCATTTCAATTACTAAGCTGTACCAAAAGCACTAGTCATCTAAAGTGAATACTTGTATCCAAGTTCTCTGTGACACACGGATTATATTTGTAAATCTTTTTATATGAACACACTCCTCAGTTTGAGTCAGTGTGATCTGTTTGGAAGTTATGTCAGCCTTGTGTGTTAGTTTGTGTGTGTGTTACTTTATAAAAAGTATTGAATTGCTTGAATGAATCCAACTATACATTATTTGCACAATACTACACATTTCCATCCATTAAAGAAGTTACCATTAAATAGCCTGGAAATCTTGTGTCTGAGTTTTTGGCTGCATGTGTTTTCTGCCTTATGGGGAGTTCTGATGTCATGGCTTTATGCTAAATGTTTAAACAAAGCTAAAATGGTATAATAATAATAATAATAATAATACATTTATTTATTATAGCACCTTTCACAGAAATAGATTTCACCAAGTGCTTCACAAGTAAGAATAAATATATACTTGAGTTACCCATGTAATAGTTAGATGATGAATCTTTTAAGCGCGACTTAATGTGTTGTGTAAAGAAGCAACAATACTAATGCATTTAAGGGTAAAACAAGTGTTGTCTTTAATTTAGGCTTAAAATGCATTGTCTACAAGGAGATACTTTAAGGAAAGGTTAAACAAACAACAACAGTGTAATGGTTTGTGCAGTCTCAGTGGCAGGAGATTAATCTTCTCACTAGAAGGTTATCTTTAAAGGTCAACTATTATGCAAAATCCACTTTGTCATGTCTTTTATACATAAACATGTGTCCCCTCTGTGTAAAGAGATTCGCTCACTTTTTGTCCTGATCCATTTATATAAAAACCTGTCTGAAAATGAGCTGATCAGATTTTGGCCACTTTATGTCATAACGATTTTTTGGCTTGTGTAACCATTAGCCAATCACCAACCAAGGTGACACCCCCCCACCTTATCACCTGAATCTCTTCCTAGAGCACCATTGTGTGCTTTTTAACCAAATATCTCTCAGAGGGGCGTGGGGAGTGGCTCCTTATTTTCATCTAAAGTAACACACAGAGAATCAGCACTTTTGAAACAGGGCTGAAACAGAGGGGATTATGGGATGCTACAATGATCTGTTGGGTATTTCGAGCCAAACACTTTAGAGACATGTTTTGTATATATCTGAGAGCTATAATATATTGATGTAAAAACAGTATAATAGGGGACCTTTAACATATTTGACTGTAAAAAAAAAAAGCAGTTGCCGTCTGTGAGATCTGTGTTGATCATCTGTCCTGGAGGCAGTCAAAGCAGCACGCAGGTCTTCTTATCTTTGAAAGGATTGGAGGAGGCAGCGATGCCGGTGAGCAGAGGGTCGCTGCGCCGGTGATCCTGACAGAACCGCACCAAGTCTCCTGCTGTCAGGGAGATCTGCTGGGAGAAAGGTGGACAGGGTGGAAATTCACAGGATTTCAGGCATTGTGAAACAGTCATATTTATGTTAAACTATTTGACATTGTTTTTAACAAAGACTTGGAGGTATACTCGTTTTTTTTTTTTTTTTAAAAGTACACTAAGAATACCTTGTGTCCCTACAGGTGCACATAATTACTGTCCATAAAGAGTGCTATTCTGGATTAAATTACTGTACTTATGAGCCATTCCTAGTGCTGCTAAGAATGTGGGATAACATTTCATTGTACTACAATAATTTGTAGACACAATTAAGCTGTACTTTTGACTCAAATTGTATTTTAAAACCCTTCTCAGATAACTATTAATAAAACATACATGAAACAAAGCTACCAATATGTACATTTGAAATATAGTTTAGAATGACACATTGTCCTAAATTATAATGAAGATACACTTAAAAGTTAGAATTAAGTGAATCATTACTGATTAGTTAAATTAGGATTTCTTCAAATATATATATAGTGCATCTAAATGATGGCTCAAAATAGTTAAGTAGTAGTCTTAACTTTGGTTTCATATATCTTGAGTAGCACAAATGATGTAGCAATATCAGGAGTATATTGTATTTATACAAGAATCAGCACACATTTATCATGACTATAGCTAAATTAAGTCTTGTTCAGCGTGCTTTGATCCACCTGGATGTGATAAAGCATGCATGTAGTTAACATATTCTTCAGAATTGTACATACCTTTATTCTCTCCATGCACGCCTCCACCCGAAGTTGATCCACCAGTTTTTGCGCCTGAATAACACTGTTGCTGCTGTTTCCTGACATTGCCTTCTGTGTGCAGATTCAGCCAAAGTCCTGATAACTCGACTAAATATCCTTCTTATTTTATGAATAAAAAAGGAGCAGCAGGAAAATGATTTAGAGCAATATTCTTCCAAATCCAAAGAGTTGGCACGGATTGTGCAGGAGTCAGAAAAGCTCTTCTTTGTCACCTGTAAAGTGACCCCTTTTTATTCACTGTTGGGGGCAGTTCAAAGGCTCTGTGATATGAAAGGTCATACAGCACAGTGTTGGAAATGTCACAGACACCACTGATTCAATATTAAAGGCTAAAACATGATGCTATGTTTCGGGTCATTGCTGCAATATGTGCCTTTGCTTTTAACATTTTAACATTAATACATGGGTTTGCTTATTGTAAATGCAATATAAGAAATCTTGAGGTTTTTCAATTAAAGATTCAAATGCCTTATCGTCATATGCACAGTATAGCTACAGTGTAGAAATGGCAATACAAATCTTAAGTCCCAAACTCCTCCAACATTGCAACATAGTTATATAGGACATAACACAAATAAAAAAATACAAGAAGCTTAATAATGCAGAGGATGTTGTAAGTGACCAAGTAAATGCAGGAGTTTACATAAATAAATAAAGATATACAAGAACAGAATGTAAAATTAAATATTGTACAGTAAAATAAAATAAAATACTGTTTATTGCAGTGATAACTATTTTGATAAATAAAAAGTAAAATGCCAACAGATGAATGCTTTAGGTTATGGAGGCACTTAACAGAGATCAGGCATGTTGTGTGTTAACCCTGTCTTAGCCAGTTAAGCCCCAAGCCTGTTTTTCAGGTCTCAGGCTCGAAAATGACATGCCCAGAACAAATGACTATATCTTCACTTTTAAAAGGGGTAAATTAATAATCTTTTTTTTCAAAGCAATGATAAACCTGTGAGTAGGATGTAGAAAAGTCAGAATCAATATAGATGTTTTTATTTTAAAGTACATTCAGATTGAACATAGTAAAAAAATGTAAATGATTGTGTCCGTCCAAAAAAAAAAACATTACTTACAGTGAAAACCACCCTTGAATGATGGGATAGTAGACTAAAAGCTTTAGGAATCCAAACTATAACATATAATAAGTACCCTGTATCAAGATTGATGCAAAAAAAGTGCAATTTGACCTTTTTAGAGAGGTTTAGAAAAGAAAAACCCATTTGGGTGTATTTGCCATATCTCTGGAACCCATCGGTCGATTTTTGTGATTGAGACCTCTTTTGAACCGTTAGAGCCAATAGAATCGAGGGGAAGTTCCTAAAATCCATCTAAACATTACCATTGGTGAATGAGAGTGATGCGCAGCCAGCATGCCCAAAACCGGAAGCTATGTTACACTTTATATGAAAAGTATGTTTATTGACATAAATGTTATGATGGATTATCAGTAATCATTTCAAAGTGACACAGAGACATTGGATTAACCTTCAGCAGCGTTTATATGCGTTTTAATGCCATTGAACACAACCTTTGATCAGAAAACAGCAAAGGTAAGACGTATTTGCCGTTTTGGCCCCGTAAAGTGAAGTTGTGTGTTGTCTGTGCTTGCCTTCGCTGCCGTGAGTTTTGGTCGCACAGTGATGATACTTATACCATTGGAATCTGTGGAATGTCAGCTTTCATATGATATCTAGTTTGTGCAGATCCGATGAAGTATAAAAGATTGCTACCGTGAGTTATGTGCTACGTGCGTTAGCACTCTTTCGCTTCCGCGGGCGGGGGCATGGGGTTTAACACCATTCACAGACATTTTTTTACATTTTTGCTTTTGAATTAAATCAGCAAAAAACACTTTTAATTGTTATCCATTCAGTCACATGTAGGCTTATTAAAGATAACTGCTTGGAGGTCATTTCCACCTGCCTGAAACATTGAGCCAAATAAATAATAATGTCAAGTGTGCAAAAGCCACCACAATCATAGTATGGGTTAATAAACATTTTTTTTTTTTTTTACAGAATATCAATAAATACAGACGCAAATAATGAACAAGTAATATAAAAACATTATGTCAGTAGAATTCATAGGTGAGCCTCTAAGCTTATTTTATCTATACTGTATTTGCAGCATTCAATGTTATTATTTACTGAAAATAAGTGGATCGAAGGTTTGTTTAATAAAGGAAGTTAACTGGTCTAAGAAAGACACACAATTTAAACCAAGGTACACGGCTCCAGTAAAGTTTTAGTAAAACAAGCGATTTAACAACCTGTTCAGCCATGGTTCAGACAGAAATACACGTTGGGCATGTTTGTCCCTCCTCGCTCTCCGTAGTAGGAGTTTCCATGTCACAGGGTATCGTAGCCTGTACATCCATGGTATGTAGCAAGCAGGAGACCCATGTGTTGTTTATATGCACTTTTGTGTCCGAAGCCAGCCGATTAATACAGAACCATCTTTAGCTGACGTCTCTTCAAAACAGGTATTTTGTCAGCTCTATTTTCTATTATCTATGTCAGTCGATAGGACCAATCTAGCTCATAGTTAGCTTGTCTGCTAGCCAACGACATTATCTAAAAAGAAGTTCTTAAGTGAAGGACTGCAGTTTTTGATATTATTGCAAAAGACAACAAATCTAAAAATGTTGTATACTTGGTTGTTGTGTGAAAATGAAGTATACAGGTAACTCTTTATTCACATTTTAAATTAAATATATATGCAGTGTCATTAAAACTAGCTGCACATTTACCAGCTTTGATAAACACATTCATAACTACTTTTGGTACTTTAAGAATATTGTGATGCTAATACTTTTGTACTTTTACTAGAGTAACATTTTTGAATGCAGGACTTTTACTGAATATATGACACAGAGAATAAAAAATGAAGAGATCTGACTATTTTACACTGTATATTACTTGTGAAAACTGCAGTAAACACAAGTTTCAAGTCTCATATACTCTATATTCATGTGCATAATAGAGTTGTGTAAAATAACAAAGAGCCTTCCCTAAAGCCTTGTTATTTATTCTTCTGGAGAGCCTGTACACATGTTTTGTGATCATTTTCAGTGATTATGAGTAAGAACATTTAAATAAGATAAGATTTGAAGTTGGCTTTATGATCTTCCTTTTGCTTGTTGATACAAACATACAATGTATGCAGAGAGTCTGCAGCGGTACCGCCAAACCCCCGACCCGTCTTGTAACACGGAGCCCGTTTCCTACACCATCAGGGCCGGTTCTAACCAATTTGCTGCCCTAGGCGAGATTTTAGCTGGCGCCTCCCCCCCCCCCCCCTGCCAGAAAATTGTTCAGTAGAAAAGGTTAAGTATCCAAGGAATACACAATAGAATATATAAAGAATAAATGAAAAATCTCTACAAAAGACCAATACACTATAAAAACAGAAACTTATTGACATAGGTAATATACATCATAAAGGCTTCAAATGTATTCAGTATTGTATGAACAAGTTTTAATTGGGGTATGGACGTCACATCCTCTAGGGCGGTCCGGGGGTATCCCCCCCCCCGGCAAGAAATGTTTGAAAATGTAAAGTAAAATGCTTCAATCTGGTGCACTTTAAGCACACATTACTAGAGACTAGATCTAGTGGGTACAACTCTAAACACCCATATGAAAAAGATCGGTTTACATTTTAATAACCAAATATGTGAACATAACCAATAACCTACCACAGCCAATAACAAATAAATGTAACTTATTTTATTTTTGTTGTTCATTCATATCTTATTTTACCTAGTTAACATTTATTTATGCATATTTTTGTATCTCAAGTTTTAAACGATATTTTTGGTTTACTGTCCTATAGTATACATTGAAATGATTTCAAACCTGTTTATCCAAATAATTATAAAGGAGTGCCTTGGAAATATTTGTTTACATAAATTGCATTTATCTCTCTTGCTCGCTCCCACGCCCACTTTAGCTGTGAGCTGCGGACGCCTGATAAGCCAACACCCCCCACTTTCATCACTTACAGCGCCCATCGTACAGGGCAAATTAAAAGTGTAACCGGGGTGAAAAGGGTGTTACATTTACTTAATTATGAATGTTGTTACATCAAGGCCGAAAATTAGGATGAGCGCAAACAGTCAAAAATGTTTTTTTCCCCCCCAGATCTGGCGCCCTAGGCGACCACCTATGCCAAAAACCGGCCCTGTACACCATGCTAAATGTATGTCTGCATAAAGCTGAGTTATGATCGGTCATAATAACACACAGAATTTGGTGATGATTAATTAGTTTACAGTGAGATTTACTCCCATACTTTTGGCCATACTCACGCAGCCCTACAAATGAATTGAGATTTCCACACAAATGTTCTTTAGCAAGTGTGCAGAGCAGTGTTGATTTAAAAAAGCAATTTGAAGGTTGGATATTTGTAAACCTTTTTTTGTGTATATATATATATATTAATAATTTAAGATGTAAATTAATTCCAGTTAATTAATTCTATTTTTATTGTGACATTTGGTGGCATCAATGTGTGCATTTGATACAGATAATGGAGCAGTTGCTTTAGGGCCACAGTGTATATCCCTTAAGGTCAAATAATGAGATCCTCAACCTCCGCCCCCCTCTCGCACCTCCACACAGAGCCCCCCCACATATCAAATCCCAACTTAACCCCTGCATGTATGTATTGCGACATTGAAAGACACTTTTGCAGTAATCAAACCTGCAGCCTGCTAAAAACAAAAGCATGGACCAGTTTCTCGAGATTGTGTTGAGACATGAGTGTTTAAGTCTTGCTATGTTTTTTAGGTGGTAATATGTTTTTGTAATTCCTTTTGATGCGGTTGTTAAAACTGATTCCCAAACTACACTGATATTTCTGACATTGTTTGATGTCTTACAGTGAGAGACATCAAACCAATTGTCAGGGACCAAGCAGTAAGACAACAGGACACAGGAATTGTTTAAATAAACTGGGTTTTTTATTTCCCCAAAGATCCAAAGAAAACATCATAAACCAATAATTTCTAATAACTATAAAAGAGGTTAACAGAA